CGGCCCGTCTGGCACCAACAACCATGCCACGCTCAAAATTGCTTAAATCACCTTTCTTTCCCATTCTGACATTCAGTTTGGAGTTTAGAAGATTGTCTTGACCAGGACCACAACCCTAAATGCATTGAAGCAACTGCCATGTGATTGGTTGATTAGATAATTGCATTAATGAAAAATTGAACAGGTGTTCCTAATAATCCTTTAGGTGAGCACCGTGAGAGTGTGTGTGTGTGTGTGTATATATATATATATATATATATATACAGTATATATATATATATATATGTATGTACAAAGCAATAAATGCAGAAGCATTTCATTATAAATCAGTTAATGCCTGTTTGAAATTTCATATTCCATATAAGACAACATAATTACATAATTGCTAACAGGACTCCAAAATACAGCTGATGTACCCTTTTTATCTCCAATAAGTGTATGTGAAGAATCATCCTTCAAATACCAGGATATTTTTTTTTTACCACCACAGGAGGTTCTTTATAGGCAACCAGCTGTATATGTAACTGTTACCCACGCCAGGGAACCCCAACCAAGTGTCCACCCTTTTTTTTTTTTACTAAATATGTATGCAGGTCACATGACTTCTGTATTTCTGTGTTAGGGTGTCTATACAGCAGTTTCAATCTGCAGGCCGTGACAAAGTCACAGAGACTGGAAATTCATTGTGGATATTTCCTCGAGGCACATCCACTCCCCTTTTGATTCCATAACACATTATGCACGCCCAGTTGACCGAGAATAAAATTTAGGAGTCTTTAGCCTCTCGGTTAGAAGGCTGTCTGCCTTCTTTGCGGGAGACTGGCATTCGATTCTCTCCATTCCCTGCCTTTCACTTGGAGTTGCATTAACCAAAATCAAAGGAAATAACTCCATGGGTACAAGAAACGCATGATCAATGTCATATAATGTATATTATACATGACATTTAAATATCTAACTGTAAGTTTTTACTTTGCAGACAACCAAGAATACTAAGCAAGGTTTTGACGTTGACTAAAATTCATTTACGCAATAAAAAAGTTAGGCTCATTTTGATGCAGAAAATCCTGCACATGTGCACAAAGGAAACATCATTTAAGTATCACAACGTCTTTTGAAGTGATTCACGATACGCCTTCCCTTGACGCCGGCTGCACCGCTCAGTTCTGTTCCGCATCCTCACTACACTCCCCACTGCTGTAACAAGCTGACTTTCTTTGACATCAACATTATTAACGGAAGAGGGGGGGGAAAAAAAGAGCCGCGCATGCGCAGACCCACGAACAGCAGGCAGGTCTTTGTTTAGACGCAGCTTAATACGACTCCACATTTAGTAATTTACGCTGTCAGTAACAGTCGAGCTAGCATTTCCAGAATAGCACACACGATTCAGAATAAAGTGGGCATATTTTTCTGTAACAATAATTTAAAGGGTGCTGCGAGAGTTGACGGTTGCTTCTGTATACAAACAAAAAAGAAACCCGCTATCCTTAAGGTAGTCTGCGATTGTTTTTAAAATATATATTTTATTTTTCTTTTCACCACGATCCTACCCTAGGATTGTGTCTGAGGATATGGAAAGGTGCAGGTAGAAGAGGGAGACCTCCTCCTGTAAAAGTCAAGCTAACATGACCAAGGATAGTTATTTTTCCAGCGAGAGGCAGCTCATGGAAAGCGAAGGAAGGGGACAACTTTCTTGCTGCCTGAAATTTAACGGTGGCGAGTGCAATTTCACAGGGAAAAGCCCAAGGTCCTGACTCCACCGATTATCTTTTTTAAAAACGAAATCGAAAAACGTCGATCGGTGTCGCGGCGATGGAGACCGTGGGGAAATTCGAGTTTAGCCGGAAAGACCTGATAGGACATGGAGCGTTTGCAGTGGTTTTCAAAGGCAGGCATAAAGAGGTATGCAAAAATTAATAATTATGATGTCGGTGCATAAATGTACTATAACAAATCACAATTTATCGTTGGACTTTTTAATTTTGTTGTAGTGTGTCTACAATGGACATTGCAGACACTAGCATACTACCTTAAATAGAGGCCTGTAAACCCTATTACTAGGTTGAAACAGAACAGAAAAATATGAGAACATATTTAACATTTATTAGTTTAAAAGCGTACTGATTTCACCAGTTGTTACATATACTGCCTGAATTCCGGGCGATGCATAAAGAACACGAAACTTTCATATCAAGTCGAAATGCGCAGATTGTTTTTACTTTAGGTATATTTGTATCGAGGAGTGATGAGGCAAAAATGCTTAATTTAAAACGTAATTCATTAGCGATGAGTGCTTGGTAACCGTCAGATGAGTTGCTTTCATTCTTTTTAATCTTTCGTATTTTCCCCAGAAACACGACTGGGAAGTGGCTGTTAAATGCATAAACAAGAAAAACTTGGCAAAATCCCAAACGCTTTTGGGCAAAGAAATTAAAATTTTGAAGGTAAGAATGACCCCTCAGTCTTCGTTGTACATTTTGTTTGCGTGTGAATTCACATTAATTCTTTTTTGCTTGTTAAATACATTTATGGATTATATCTTTTTTTTTATAGGAACTAAAACATGAAAACATCGTTGGCTTGCTGGACTTTCAGGTAGGTTATTGTAACAAAACCCATCATAGGACATTTGTATTTCAAGGGCATTGATTTTAATTTTTAATATATTTTATATTTTTAAATATCGCAGTGAGTCAAGATTTTTATCTGTATCTTAGACCGAATCTGCTGATATAAAATGAACAAATGTATAGTTGGCTGTCCCTGTTATAATGTTAAGTTTGCGTATGATGTAAGACTAAGAAAGTTTTGCACAGAGGTGACGAAGAGCATATTTGACGTTACAAAAGAAACCGGGTCATCTTTTTTCCGCATGCAAAGGTCTTTGCCCCCATTATTCTGTTTTGTTTGCGATTTTCTATCACGTGTCCTCCTGTTGACATGCCATGTGCGTGCGATTACATTGGCTCAGTGAGAGACTGCTGTATTAGCAGGCGCCACTAGTCTTCTCGGGAGTAGTAGTCTTTTCCTGTCTTTTTCGTTGAAATGTGTGCTGCAGAAGGCCCTTGATGAACTACAATCACCAGAGAAGTCGACAACTTCTAATGACGCTTATCGTGTTTCAGTTGCGTCAGATCGAAAGACGCTTTCCTCGAATGCAATAAAATAGCATTATTTTAGCAGTCCAACTGTCTTTATATTATTGAAACCTAAATCATCTTCGACACGTAGATTTTGTTATTCATTAAACTAACCAGAATTATATTTATGCTAATTATTTAAAACTATTTTTATGTAAATAGTAAACTTATTTCAGAAATTAATCTATTTCACAAATCAAGTTTTAAAGATGATTTTAAAGATCGTTTAGTTTAGCGTAGGTTTCTTAAATATTTTGCTGACCTGTTTGCCTGTCAGGTAATGTCTTTTGGCTATGATCTCAACATGTAAGTCTAACAGGTTTAGGTTTTAGGTACAGGCAACAAACCTATTGCCTATGTGACCCACAGCCATTACTGCATTGGACACCTTTGACTCATCTGCCATTTGAGTGGCTTTCTGGTCATTCAGTGTTTTCTGTAATGTTTGGTTTGCTTTCTGACTGGCGTTCATATACAATCTTTTGCTCATATCAGGATTGTTATGGCTGTTTTGTTGTGTTTTTTCCATTGTGATTATTGAAGTATCTATCACAGTTCAGCACAATCCACATTTAGGAAATATTCCAAGTAACTAGTTTAGAATGTGTTTATGTGTGTGGCATTACAAAGATGGCAACGTTGTCCTGCTGTACAGTGGGGAACCCAAGCTTGTAACTCACAGCTAAAAACTGAGTATGTGGTCTACTTGGAGACCGACACTGGTTGTCACGGACAAAGACTATTGATCTTGTTTTAGGCCTCTGTTCACAGCACATAAAAAGTTACAGCTTGTCCTCCACTCTTTGTCTCCTACCCCCACCCTGGGCTCCTGCTGCTCCTTTGTTGCCTAAAGGGGGACCTATCTAGTCTGCTTAGTAAGAACAATGATCAGCCTCCAACTTTACAATATTCTTACTGATGTTAAGGCCAATTTTGGATCTGTACCTCAGCCAAACATAAAAAGTTGCGGAAAGCAAAACCATCAAACTGTTGCATTGTCTCTCCCTGATTTTCATAACGGTTGGGGCAACAAGACTCTCTTCTGTTTGTATGTACACTTGTGTCAGGCTGCCAAGGTAACCAAGTGAGAGTGGAGTTACCTGGCAGGGGGTGAGGTGTATTTTGAATATAGCGAGGGTGCGGGGAGAGATTAAACCAGGTGGTGTGTTTGACGGATGACTCATGGGTCATGGCAGCTACTGCAGGTGGCTTCTGTTGTGGTTTCTTGATGACTTTGTTATTGGCTTCACCAATTAAAGTGTAGAATGACTAGCAGAAGCCATCAGTACACCTGTCCGCAGTGTCTAGTATCTTCCCCTGCGGAATCTCCCCACAGAGCTAATGTGAATAGATATTCTGCATCATCTAATTATCATGTGGGCTTGTTAATTATCCTGTAGATTCCATTTTGCAATCTTTTCTTTATTGTTTCCGTAGTTGCCAGCCCATCCGTATAGAATATAATGACATCGATTCCTGCTATCTCGTTAAATATCTTGTTTTAGAATGTACTCCTTTCCAAAGCTTCCTTTCGCCTTCAAGTGTTTTTAGCAGTGTAGTGGGAAAGTTATTTTTAGAAAGGCTCATCTACCAGGGGTCCTATCAACTTGTTTTGTTGGCATGTGTATATTGACAGGAGTAGGGTTGTGACCGTCAGGTCTGTTATCATGCTTTGGGGGGGATTTTTAATGTGTTAGGTGTAGACCTGAGCTTAACAGAGGCTAACCCCCCCCCCCCTGCTCATTTAACAAAAGCCTGTAGAGTTTCTCTTTTCCCTCTCACTGTTGTTCAACCATATGAGCCTGTCATCACTGTGAAGAGGGCAGGTGCTGTTTACATTTCTATGACTCTAACGGGATTTTTCTAGAACTTCAAGCCAACACAGCCACCTAAATTAAACAGTCAGTTGTGTTAATGCAGCTTGGCAGAGTCAAGCTCTGCGAGAGAATGAGTTTCCTTTTACCTTGGGTGGCGGGTCGGGGGTAGGGTGGTGAATTAGGAACAGATGGGGATAAATTGCACTGACATTGGCCTGTCCAGTGGGAAATTGAATGCTGCACTGTTTTTAGCAAGTTTGGTTTTACCTGAGTTTTTCACTTAAAGGAGAGTGAAATATGAATCTTTGGAAAAGAAGTACAAAATGTTGAGTTTGGAAAGAAATACCTGCTAGTTTTGCTCATTTTTCCCCTCTGGCATGGTCATATATGACGCTTTCCCTGAAAATTGTACTGTTATTGCTGGGAAAGGCAGCACAATATTGCCTTATCTATGATGTCTGCTGAATTTTTATCTAGTCCTGGAACTGCGCTGTGGTAATGACAGGTTCCTGTCAATGCTCACGTACTAACCGTAACAGGTATTGGCTTACAAAGCGTTCCAGTCCTCGTCTGTCTGGCATCTCTGTGTCGTAAAGTGACACTGTAGCACGGCAGCCAGCGGCGAATGAGTCTGCCTGACTGCACTATTTGAAACAGATGGTTATCTGCTGCTTTGCTAATAAGTGAACAAAGCGGCAATGTTGCTTGGTCAGCAACAATGTATTGTGAGAAAGGCAAGCTGAGATCTGCTGATTGGCCATTAAATAAAAGATATACGTGTTGCTTGGTGATTCAGGCTTTCCGACTTGGCTTTCTCCTCTCTTAGTTCTGTGGGGCATATAAACAACTCTATAAACCATATTTAGAGAAATCATGGAAACTATAAACAAATGGCTCAGACCGTAAGATTTGGCCTTTTATGCAAACACCACTAAGCTGGAGTCCTTTTTCTCACACCCATTTTAAAAGTTTCTACACTGTTCATTGTGTAGTTGTATCACATTTTTTCTAAGCCCCTGCTAGTCTTCTGCAGACTAACCCTACCTGTGCAGTTTGTTTTACTTTGAGCAGGCAGTACTTTCATGTTAGACTTTTTGCGGTCTAACCTGCACTTTTGTGTGTTAACACTTTGTGCTGTACTCTGAGTGCCCCGACTAATGAATTAAACATAAAAATGATTCAATTGAATTATCACAGGTTGGGAACGAAGGGACCTCAAGGGCTCTCTAGTCGTCGATGTTGCTGCTGCTGCTGTTGTTGCTGCTGTCATTATTTTGAGAATGAAATGTAGGACATTCTTATGCCTACATGTTACTGGTCTCCTTTTTTGAGCATCTTGTTTGTAGAATAATGAACACAGGTTGCACTTTGCTTTTGATGTAGTTTAATGAACTTCACAGTGCAGTTTCTATTTTACAAAGATTCATCCCTGCTGGACAATCAATGATAATACAGCCGGTGTCTTGGATACCATCATCATCCGTATGTGTATGGATTTGTGATATACTTTCTTTTTTGCTATGTTCTGGTGTGATATCCTTTGTGGTGACGCATGATATGCATACCATTGATCACTGATGTTTTGTATACTTTGTTAGTAATCTGGTGTGATACCACTCATTGGGGTGTGGTCTGATGATGCCCTGATGATGCCCGTGACACCTGTTGTTTTGTCATAGCTTGTCCAGCAGGGAAACGCGTCTGGGTTGTGATGTTTATTAAACTACAGACGCTCCTCTACTTACGAATGAGATACGTTCCGAACCGCCGTTCGTAACTTGAAATGTTCATAAGTCGTTATTCAACAGGCGGAATTGGTGCTCAGTAAAAAAAAAAAAAAAAAAATGATGTTGCGGACAGGAAATGGGGGCCCAAGTAACACAATTTGGACTTACAGTCCTCTTTGTTCGTATGTCTAAAATTTATTAAGTAGAGGAGCGTCTGTATATCAAAAGCAAATAGTGACCTGTTTTCGTTATTCTTCATGGATTCTCTGTTGTGCTATTTTGTTTGCAAAATGTTTCCAAACTGAGAAGAATTGGATCCGTAAATGGGAAGTTGCTTTAAATGCCAAAAATCTGTGATCAGTTTCCCAATAATTCATCAGTGTTGTTTCTTTCTTTGTCATTTTTTCTGTCTCTTCTTCTTGTTTCTCCATTTTTATTTATATGAAACATAAAAAAAAAAGTCTGGTGTTACCTTTAAATCTTCCGAGTATTTTTCCAACCTGTTGTATATTTTCTTTGTAGGAAATGGCAAGCTGTGTTTACCTTGTCATGGAGGTAAGTCCCTAAAATGAGTGGGTTGCTCGCAGGGTTTGCTGAAATGCACTGTGATTGCATTGTATGACCACCATAAAAAAAAAAAAATAGCAGGATAAAACCAGGGCTGAATGCTTGGGGTTCATCTACAATGAAATGTTCATGGGAGTTCGTATTAATTCATGTTTGACTAAACTCCTGTAGGGATTGGAGTAGGATTTCACATGTAAGAAGTCAGTGCTGTCATTACAGAAGCTGTTTGCATAGATAGCACCTGTAAAGATGGTGTCGCTAATGTGTCCTGTTTCTTCCCCTCCCACCTCCTCTTAAGTACTGCAATGGAGGAGACCTGGCAGACTATCTCCACTGTAAGTGTGTCCCTTTGTTTGGTGAAGACCACCGACTAGATGTGTTCCTTCCGTTCTCAGGAGCTGTCATAATCTAACAGGCTTTAAAGTACTGGTACATTGGCAGCACAGCATTGTAATACAGGGCCCTGTGCGTATGCAGGCGTGATGCGTTGAAATGCCGTGGTAGTGTTGGTGTGTATTGGACCTTCCACCTGTTAATTTATTGGGGTGTTGCCTGGTAATACTAGGAGGGTTAATGTCACAGTGCTGGGTCACCGTTGTAATATGGCACCCATTTGCGACATTGTCCCTACTGATGCTTGGGAATGGGGTTGGGGGCGTTGGGGGTTGGGGGGTGGATACAGCCATGTTATTCACCATGGCAACTCCTCGAAGTGTGGTTTCCATGACAGCAGCCCGGCTGTTTACTCCACCACTTCATTTCTGGAACAGCTGACAGAAAATTAATTAATCTGGGAAAATGAATCCAGCAATTAAGGGGTGAGGGACCTGATTGGCCCAAAAAAAATATGTGTATTGTCTGGAGTAACACCTGCAAGACGGCATTCATGTGCAGAGATGCTGCACTTGATGTCAGATGATCTGAAAATAGCTTCAGTTTGCTGGACCGAGGAGCTGTGTGGCTGCCTAGTGGCAGCGGAGGGATGTGGAGCAAGAGCCATTGCTGGCTAAATTTATGTGGATTGAGTTGACAGATTTATTTAAAGCCCCGGCGGGCGTCAGTGGTGATGTAAATGGGCACCGGTCCCTGCCTCGTGCTTATTTATCTTGGAGACCTCTGCCCCGGCCACCTCACCAGTGTCACACTAAATGCCCAGTAGCTCTGATATCATCCCCTCATCTATCTGCTCCTCATCTGTCCCAGTATTGCTTCATCTCTCTCTTGGGCTCTGGTATTGTGGAAAAACACAGCTTCTAAAAATATACATGAATTATTAAAGCCCCCTCCCACCACATCCCTTGTAGCAGTGTTAATGGCCTTTGAGAAAAATTCCAAATCTGTAGTCTTGCAAGCAGTCACTTTCTAAAAGTGTTTGCTGTGCATTCTTTGGTGCCTCCCATAATCTCATTTGAACAGGCTTATGAAACGTCACCTGGGTTAGTCACTGAGCTCAGTATTAATGAATAGACTGTAACTGGGTTTGACATCATTATTGACTGTGTAATGCATCAGTCTGCAAGCCTGTGACATAGTCGTGCTGGGGATAGTATTCCGTGCCTCTAATTAGTTCTCGAACAATGGTTTGATCCTGTTGACACTTTCATATAGTCTGAGTAGTGTTTGTGAAAAGAGGTTTCAGCTCTTGGGATAGCAGCATGTGAAAGTTGGAGTGTTGGGTTGAGTCGTATGTAGGACTACACCATGAAACCTTGGGAGAGGTACAGTGCCAGTCAAAAGTTTGGACACGCCAAGCCACCTACAAAGCAGAGTGATAGTGTTGCATTACATGACCTGGGCACCTGATCTAAACACGGCGGAAGTTTGACCCGAGAGTGAAGAAAATGTGGCCAATGAGTGCTCAGCATATGTGGGATCTCCTTCAGGACAGCTGGAGAAGCATCCCAGGAGGCCACCTCATGAAACTGGTATAGAGGAGAAAGTAGGATCAGCCAGTGTCTGGAGCATTTGGGGTTCTGAGTCCTAAACCACAGAGCTGCCCCCCCCCTCCCTTTTGGTCAGTGCATAGTTTCATATACATTATAGTTTTGTAATTATTGTAAAATGTAGAGAACAGTTTAAATAGACCTTTCTATGGGAAGATGTGTCCAAACTTTTGACTGGTACTGTATTTTAATTTGTAATTTATCCCCAGAAATGTGCACCCCCTGCTGAGCAGTTCAATAAAAAGATGCCAAGCAAAGAAACAGCGAGAAAAGGACCTTGTTTAAAAAACTCACTTTCTAGCAGCTCTATTCAGAGTAGCTTACCTAGCCGTCAGATGTTATTCCAGATGTTGCTGGTCAGGTAGGTTTCTCCGGGGAGTTATAGCTGCCCAGGACCCAGCATGTGAACCTGTGACTTAGTCCATTTTTAATTCATCATGCTCCTTGTTTTTGCGTGTGTGGGGGTTTTTTTTTTAGGTGTTTTGCTCACTTTTTGAAAATAACTGTGGTCCTTCTTGGGTTTGGCTTTTTTCTGAAAATAGAGCAGGTTTAAGTGCTATAATTGGAAGCAGCCTAGGTGGTGCGTACAGGTGCCAAACAGAAAATGTATAGACGGCGTTTTTGTTGGAAAAGTGACAGTTTCCGTATAAAGAAACGGGCCGCGGCTTCTGAAGGGCGGGGGGATAGGCGCTTAAGGAGTTACTGGACACCTGGCCTCGGGATTGAGTGAAGCTCTCGCTTCCTCCAGTGCCCCCAACAGAGCGAAACAGGACTCACTGGTGAGGAGCTTGTGAGTGTTAAGACAGTGAGTTTGTATATAATGATGAGGAAAATGCACATTTGCTCTGTCACCCTCAATCTTTTTTTTCTTTTTTCTTTTTTATCGTGTCTAGTCCCTGAGTCACACAGAGTGGGTCAAGGCAATTATATTATCTGTTAAAATATCATAAAGGGGAGTTGGCTCAAATGTCCCTCTAATTTAACACAATGTTATAATACAGGCATCAGTAAATGACTAGAGCTACTGCCCTTGGGGGGGGGGGGGAATCTTTGTTTGTAACTTATAAATCATACTGGGCTTGGGAATGGCATTCATGAATGTTTAATTGTTATATTTGTCTAATGGGACACCAGCCATATAAAGGCAATAGTCTGTTGGACATGTTTTACACACCAAATGTTAAGATTCCCCCATTTCCTCGTCCCACTTAACTAGATTTCAATCAAGAACAATCATTAGAAATAATTATCAAAATTCTCTGAACTATGAATCACCTCTAAATTTAATGAAGGTCCAGCAAAGTCTTTATTGGTTGAATTCATGTAAACTGACTGTAAAGTGTTAAGATATAGACATGAAAAAAGTTGTATTTTTTTCTTTGTTTGCTCTAGTAGCCCATGTTACTGGTAAAACAAGTATACGTTTTGATTGAATGGTCTGTGGAGGAAGCTAACATGCCCCCCCCCGCCAATCCGACAGCCAAGGGCACCCTGAGTGAAGACACCATCCGGGTCTTCCTCCAGCAGATTGCTGGAGCTATGCGGGTGCTCCAGGCCAAGGGCATCATCCACCGGGACCTCAAGCCCCAGAACATCCTGCTCTCCTACTCAGGGGGGCGCCGGTCAAACCCCAACAACACCCGCATCAAGATCGGTGAGTCGGCATTGCCTGGGCGTGACCTGACACCCCAGACACATACAATGCAGAAAACACAATCTTTCAATTGATCTGCAGTTTTTTTTTCCTGTTTTCTACTAAAGCAGAGTAATTGCTGTTTAATGAGTTAAAACCTAAATGTATGTATGTATTTAAAATGAATTCTGTGTGTAACTAGAAATGATTTGGCCCTTCTAGTGCCTGAATACTCCTTTGATGTACGAGATCTCTGGAGTACATGAGACTAGTTGTCTTTGGACTGTAAGTTTGGGTTCTTCTGGGTGGTGCCCCCCTCCCAGATGGGAGTCTGGATGTCAGAAGTGCAGGGGTGGAAGGGTTAGGCCAGGGAATGAGAGTAGCCGACAGCGTGCCCACCCCCACATGTTCAGTCAGTGATATGTAATGACCGTGCAGCACTAACCCCACGCTGAGGGCCGCGCCGTGGGAAGTGGCTGCGTCAGTGTGTGCCAGTGTGTTGTTTCAGCTGATTTTCTAGGACGGGGGAGGGATCTGTTTGTTTGCAAGTCTATTTTTATAGTTTGCGGTGTACTGTTGGTCTCCAAATGGTGTGGGGGAAAAATTGCACCCCACCTGCTATTCACCTCTGTCAGCTAGCGATCCTCTGTATTTCCACAACGAACAGGAAGTATGTCATGGCTAAGATGGCTATTTGTCCCCCAGTTGTATGTAATTAATCTAAACTAAAGATGCTGGCACCCTTAGCATGGTTCTTAAATATTAATATCGGAAATTCAAGTATCCAATCCATGTTCAGCTTTGTGACCTTTGACCTTGTGTTACATTTTCTCTCTCTCTCCGCAGCCGACTTTGGATTTGCGCGGTACCTGCAGAACAATATGATGGCAGCCACACTGTGTGGATCACCCATGTATATGGTTAGTTTACTGCTGTTCGTGGTGTGTTGTTGTTGTTGTTGTTGTCGTCGTCGTGTTTGTTGCATGTGCACTCTTTGCAATTAGCCATTGGCTAATATTACTACAGCAAGCATTAGCAACAACGGCATCCAACTAGAAACCAATGAAGACACATTAATCTGAGATCTCCCTTTTTCACCCATATGGGGGCAGAAGAGGGGGGGGGGTGGCAAATACGGAGCAGATATGATTATTTGATCTGTATTGTTCCTGACAGGCCCCTGAGGTGATCATGTCCCAGAACTACGATGCCAAAGCGGACCTTTGGAGCATAGGGACTATTGTGTACCAGTGTCTGACCGGGAAGGCTCCCTTTCAGGTGCGTTCATGCATGCTTTTGAGGAGATACGAGTTAATAGTGCGTTGAAGGCTGGGGGTTCAACAACCACCTGGGCCTGGACCTTTATAGGCCCTCAATGCTTCAGCTGTCACCACATTGTTGGACGTCTACATTTCCATTTACTTACTCAGCAAATGCTTCTGTCCAAAATGACATGCAAGTGAGGCATATATGTTAATGCATAATGTTGATGTATTTGTGATGTTATGTTGGTGTTGTATAGTACTACATATATTTTTTTCATTAATTTAAATGCATGTATTTATTTATCTCTCTCTCTGAGACTGCTCAGATCATTTCGGAGTAGTTCACTTTGGAATTATAGCGTGGTGAAACGTGGAGGTGTTCCCTATTCACAGTGGTATTCGATGTAGTACTGCCCCTGAAATGCTTGTGTGTAATTATTGTTCAGATGTGAAGGGGGGGGGGCGTGTTGTGGTGTCGGGGGGGCAGCATGCGTTATTGTGGCTATTGCACAGTTGTCAGACCTGTTATACAGAGTTCATTTCTGTCCTCGGCAGAGTAGTGTCAGTCCACCTGCCATATTCCCCTGCAAGATATTTGGACTATGCAGCCATAACCGAGTTAAAAGTTGCACATGTGAGCCACTGTTTTTCATTTTATTCATTCAGCCGTAAGCTATCTGTCAAGATAGGCATACCCATAAATATGATTGGAATCACTCGTCAAGTCAGATTGCTGTGATGCAATGACAGACTTACCTTACACCCACTAAATATTTGTGCTCACGCACTTGTTTGTAGCAACTGTTAATCGAGCGTTCTAAGTACCTTCCACAAGGGTCCAGATGCTGTGTTCCAGACCCCTGAGCCACATTCTGCCCCATGCACTACCTTCAAAGCAGTTGAGCTTGTGTAATTTCTGTGATATAATTAGGATCTGGAAGACATTCTTTTGTGTAACAGATTTTCCGACAGACCCTGGGTTTCATTTCTGCAACTGTAAGCTGTTTTGGTCAGTCGCCACATTTTTGGGGGAGGGAATGACAGCTTGCCATCTATGAGGATGGTCTAAATAAACAGAATGAGTCAGTGGAACTCCTTATTGTGAAACCCTGTCATAATAAGCTGTTTGTGGACATTGGACATTTCTACTTCTAGCTACCAGAAATAGGTTTAGAGCCAGCTTTGGTCATTGTCCTTCTTATTTTTGTAATAGGAGAGTCTCAATTTGCTGTCTCAATTTGCCATGAAGTTCTGCCTATTTTTTATTTTTAAATGTCCTTGCCTGAGGAAGTAACTAGCCCTCGGATGATCTCTGACTGTAAACAGCGTTTGGCAATGCGTTCTCAGTATATGGTAGACAGCTCTGTTGAAAATAGTGTTAAATGCAGCTGCTGTCAGTTTGTCAGTCAGTAATGTATCTTATCTCATGATACCTTTCACAAATCAAATTGGGGGCGGGGCGCTGCAAAGAAATGTTATTCTGCATAAATTTTGTTGCTCAGAGTGATGCCTGAACAGTGACTGGGACAGTCCCCTGACCACCACCCATGGTAATTTAATCCAGGCTTGGAAGCAATAAGGTCAATCAGGTCAAGTGCTCTCAGTTCAGGGGCGTACAGTGGCAGTCAAGTCTGGACACACCTGATTTTAATGTATTTGTCTCTTAGCGATATTATTCACCCTACAAGACCAAGAGAACAGTTCAGCATCTCATTTTTCTGCCAGCTGGTTGATTTGCATCTTGCTCTTTGACCCAAGCTCTGCAGCTCAATGGGGTTTAGTTGGGGGGGGATTGTGGGGGGCAGATCATTTGACTTGGCTCTCAATCTTTTTTTGTCTAACATGGTACTTGCATAACGTCAAGATGTGCTTTAGGGTCATTATCTTGTTAAAGTACAAATGAGTTTCAGTATGTGTGTCCAGAATTTTTACTGGTGCTGAAGGAACTGGGGGGGGGGGGTGTACCCCCCAATATTTAATTACGATTCCCCCTGATAAATAGATCTTTCTGTTTAAGTTAAGTGCCCCCCTGCTCCAATATCAAACTCTCCAATGGCTTTGTGTCAGTTAGGTCAGTGGGTTCAGGACGTGTTCAGTCTCTGTAATGGATCCTGATGTAAGGCACCCGGTTTCATCAGGATTGCGTTAATTGAAAGAAGGTTGAGTGAGGATGAGCACTTTGCCCACGCTGTGGAGCCGTGCTCGGAGGTAACCTCTGCGGGTGCACCTGACCTCGCTAATGTGATGCCGCGCCCGTGTCATCTTCTCTCAGGCAAGCAGTCCACAGGATCTCCGGCTCTTCTATGAGAAGAACAAGAACCTCAGTCCCAAGTAAGTTCCGCCTACTGTTTGCCAAAAGCATAGTTACTAACAATGTTGATGGCTTACATAGTTGGATCCATGCCAATCAACAGTTCCAACTATGTAAGTTGATACCAGGAGCTTTTGGGAAACGTACCCCATATTTGTCCACATCCTGCTGGGCGGGTGTTGCCGCGGTTACCTTGCCCGGCCTCCTTTCTCGCCCCTCATTGGTGCTAGGACTTGGGTGCATGCTGGGCTATAACCCTGTTGTGTCGGGCCATTTGACAGCCGTCATAAAACCCGTGAGTCAGACCAGAATGCCTGAGGGGCAAAGCAGTGAGAAATACCTCCTGTACGTTGCATCAGAAAAGCAGGACATGACCAGTCATGGAGATCGCAGTGAGCGATCGGCGATGGGGAAACGGCGATCCCTTGGCATTTCTAAGGTTCAGAGATGTAAAGCGACTTTAAAAGCCAGGCATCATCAACCTCGGCCCTGTCAAGCTTCTTACACACAAAGTGGCCGTTGTTTGCGTACGTAGGGCCTTTGTCTGCACGCACTACTTTATTAATCCCCTCGCCACACACTCATACACACACACACCCTGCCAGAGGCCTACCCTGTCATTGACATTTTCAGGTCTTCCCACATAGCTGTCTGACTACAGTATGAATGTCTCAATCCCCAGTGAAAACCTACCGATTTATTAATCCATTCACTTGTTTGGAATTTAAAAGCCTCGTGTCATTCCTACAATCATCATGCAATCCCTTAGTATTCTGTCTGTCTATCTGTGTGTAGGATTTTGTATCTCGATATGAATTTAAGTGTAAAGTATATATTATTAGACTCAGATTTAGAGTTACATAAATTAAAGATGTAAAAATAGTAAACTATAGTCTTTAGTTTGGATTTGCTGCCGGGCATGTTTTAAACAGTGAGTGCATGTGCGAAATATAATGTTTTTTTTTTTTGTTGTTTTTTTGCTCCCCCCCCCAGCATCCCCCGGGAGACATCTGCTTATCTTAGACACCTGCTCCAGGGACTGCTACAGCGCAACCACAAGGACCGTATGGACTTTGGTCCGTGACCTTTACATCCCTTCTTGGTTGTTCACGTGGGAGTGGGGATTAAATGCTGTGTGACCAAAGGGTTCTTGGTCCAGGTCACAGCTGTTGTACCCTTGTGTGAAGTACTTTAGCGGCTATATGGGTGAAATGTTCAGAAGCACAGATTGTGTGTGAATGAGGTGTGCCCCTTTGGGTGAAAACTGTCAGTATATTTTGTCCAAGCATTCGCGGGTGTTTGGGGTAGTGTGTGGCTAAGCCTCTGTGCCTGTGGTCGGAAGGTTGCTGGTTCCAGCCCCTAAATGATAGGCTACAACCCACGATTATGAGGTTGCGGTTTGTTTAAGCCAGAAAAAGGACAGCATGTACCTGAAAATTGAGCATATAGGGCAACGAGCAGGTCTTCCTCACAGGAAATTTACACGTTTCACCCCTTTTTTTCTCTCCAGATGAGTTCTTCAGACACCCTTTTCTAGAAGCAAGTTCATCCATGAAGAAATGTGAGTGATTTGTGGGAGTGACTTATGCACATACCATTAAGGATGGATTCTGTCAGAGATTCCTGATTGTAATACTGTTTTAGTGATGAGGCCTGTGGCTAGTGTTCTATGTTATTTATAAATAATTATGTTGATGAGGCTCTAATAAGGACTGTGGTGTTTTGTAAATTCATGTGCCTGGTGTTCAGTGACCGTGACCGTGTCTTTGACAGCTGCCCCTGTGCCCATGCCTTCGTACCCCAGCTCCGGCTCTGCCAGCTCCTGCAGCAGCTCCTCCACCTCCCACCTGGCCTCCCCTCCCGTAAGACCCCCTCCGACCCCCTTCCCCCCCCCCCCCCCATCCGCCTCTGGAACTTAAACAATGCTGCTTTCATGCCCTTGGAGTTGTGGATTGGTATTTACAATTAAATGCTGCTGAAAAATGGGGTCCATTCATTGAGAGGCATCGAAGCCCAGACTATTTTCTTGAACTTATGGTTGTGTTCAGCCAGAAATGGTGGATTTTCCAGCTTGGACTCCTCAAGAAATGCCCAGAAACTTGCAGTGAGTGGTGCGGTCCAACATACCATTAACTGATTCATAACTCAATGGAGTAAAAGTTCTGCACAGGGGTCATAGTCAATACAAGCATCTTGCGCTCTTTTGTTTTAAAGAGGCTGGTAAAAAGGTGCTTACTTTGCGTATTAAGGAGCTGCGGTATCTGTGAATATAGGAGTTATTGAAAAGGACGTTAAGGCTCTGGTGCTCTTCCTCCCCCCCCCCCCCCCCCCCCATGTCGGCAGCAGTCTGTGGCTGAGATGCAGCAGCTGCAGCACAAGACCCTGGCATCCCCTACCCAAGATGCACCGGGTTTCCTGCTTAAGGACTCTGCCGGCAACAGCAGCAGCAAGAATTCCTCCTGTGACATGGATGACTTTGTCATGGTGCCAGCCCAGCTGCCCAGTAAGCCCTTTCCACCTTTAAGGAAGATGAGACAGCGGCAGTTAACACGCGTCCATGGTGGAAATTTACTGAGAAGCGAAAGGCAGAATGAGCAGATGGCATAGAATCTGGATCATTTTGCCAAATCTTCAGACGCCCTTTTCAAATTTGAAGTATTATGTGGATATAAAATGGAATCCCAGCGGCTGAGATTAATAGAGGAATGTCAGTCTCCAGTGGCTGACATTAAATGTTTTTCTTTTTTTAAACTGGATTTTGATTGGGTTCATTTCTCTCTCCTCTGCAGGTGAGATGACCTGTGAGGGGACTGGGGGCAAAACTGTGCAAGACAGCTTGATGTACAGTGGGTGAGTAATCTGGGAACCACCCCAATTGCACTGGTGATCAAAACATTTGGGAGGCTTAAGGAGCCTCCAACCGTTCATCAGAGTTTATCATCTGTGTGTTAAGAGTTGAGGGAATTTATGCATGTATACATTGGTATGGAGTTCAGAGGGCAGGGCTTTGATTGGATCAGACTGAGCATTGTGGACCATTGACCATGTCAGGCTGACTCTGCAATCCCTTAGTTTTCTACACTGTTTTGTCCTCATGAATAGGAGCTCACTGCTGGCCTCTACTGGTGGCCGTGTGGCACAAGTCAGGACCCGGTCACCATCACCTTCCTTCAGTGGGTCTCCCGGCATTCTTAGGTGAGGCCTGACGACTCTCTTTGGCCTGCTGTTGCTGTACTTACATAATATAAAAATTAGTGCTTACGGCACTCAGGATCTTTAACACACAGAAAACATCATTTTGAATGACCTGAGCTTGTGTTTTTGAAAGAAACAATGTAAAGTTAGGTTTATATGCCACTCCAAGCCGTTCCTCTAAAATTAATGGTTGCTTTTTATAAGAGAGGTTAAGTGTTATTGCCAAAGATTTAGTAGCTCTGGTAGCTCAACAAATAGAGCATTGAGTTAACAACACAGAGGTCATAGGTTCAAGTCCCTGGTAGAACACACAAATTTTAACCCTTCCCTGCCTGGTAAGTCACTTTTTTCATAACGGCATCTAAGAAATGGATCAGTATAGTGGGGAATAAAATCCAAGTTTGTGTTGATTGGTTCTATGAAATGCAAGTGAGGGAGAAGAAATTAATATATGAGCTAAGCAATATTCATATTTTTCATGACATTAAAAGTGAAAAAGAATCGATTCTTTAATTCAGATGGGATATATTTAATATGGGAGGGGAAAATGTTATGTTTAAGCAAAGTCTTCTAAGTTCTAATACATTGTGCATTGGCATAGGAATTAACATGCTTTTGTAGTATAAAGAAAAACAAAAAACAGCTTCTTCAGATCAATATAAATATCATATGAAATAAGGTTCTTGTGAAATAAGTCACAGATTAAGGGTGTAAACCAAGGTTCCCCAATTCCTTGAGGGCCAGTCTGCACCACAGTTTACAGATTTCCCTGCTCAAACATACCTACTAAACCTGGCAATTAGCTGGTGAGATGAATAAAGTGCAAACTGTGGTGCGGACTGGCCCTACAGGATCAGAATTGGGGAGCCCTGCTGTAAACCCTTAAAATGGACTTGCTTCTATTCGTAATTACTCTTCTGATGTTAACCTAGTTGAATTTTAGGCCCTAATGTTTTTTGGGAGGATCGCTGATGGATAGTGTTTTGGTTTCACTTGAGACTTTTCTATTCTGTTTAAATCTTATATACTAATTTCTAAGTTGGTACGCACAACTTTGAGACAATTGTTGTGCCTCATCACATATCAAGTGTAACATGCAGACAGTCTCCACCAGAGAAGGCGCAAAGCTGTCCAGATATTGTGTGAACATTTAATGCCACGAGGGTCCTGTGAAGAAAGCTGGACTCACCTTTTCAGTCCAGAGCACTTTCCGTCGGACTGAGCCACACAGATGTTCTCTGTAACACACTCATGACCGCACCACCAATACATACTCTAAAGCTACCTCTGCTCCAGTTACAGTTTAGTCCTTTTCACCAAAGCATGCATGAATTTGTTTTGTGGTAAAGGTATTATAACCCAGAAGGGATGACTTCTCCTCCACTTTCCATCTGTTTCTCTCCACTTCCCTCCATCTGTCGCCTGGCCTGCAGCAGACCAGCAGAGTCCTCCAGCACCTATGGCCAGTCAGTGCCCATTCCAGTACCCAGCCAGGTTCATAACTACCAGCGCTTGGAACAGAACCTTCTGGAACCCAGCCATCAGGGCTCTCCCAGGTCAGTTACGCCCTCATTCATTCCACCTCTTCGCTCCATTCCTGGGTCTGTGGCTTTGTACTTCCATTTATATTGCACAATGTCTGGTTCCATTCATTTGGAGGGGAGTGAGTGCAATTACTACAGACTATTTCTTTATTGCGCTTTTAACCACCTACATCAGGATTTCCCAATCCAGTCCCTTGGGAGCCCCAGGCAGTCCATGTTTTTGCTGCCATCCAGCTCCTACCGGGCAAAAATGTGGACTGGGGGCCCCTAAGGACTGGGTTGGGAAACACTGATCTACTTTAACATAGAACTTTTTTCATCAGTTAGTATACTAAAGAGATGTGGCTGCTGAGAAGTTTCAGTGTAATTGACAGTGCTTTGGTATATATGTATGGTTATACTTGCAACAGTTTATTACACAAGCAGTGATGTATAGTGTAATGTAATGTAATGTATCAGTAGCTTGACCAAGAGTGTCCCCGTGCATGAGTGTCATGCGGCCTCCATTGAGCAGGGCTGCGGCTCCGTCCCCTCGCCGGTGCTCCAGTGGCGGCTGCCTGGGATTCGGGAAGACCGGAACATCTCCCCCATACCCAGGAGACCCAGGGCCTGTCTTCAACTCCCGCAGGCTGTCCTGGGGCGGCTCCAGACCTTACCAGCCTTCCCCCCAAGGTATCTGCCACTTAATACACTGCTGGCCTCGCGCAGGGTGAGATGGCGGGCAGAGCTAGATAACGGGAATAGGAGGGAGGAGCAGGGACTTAATTATGGATGCTGTTGGAGGCTGGATTATGGAAAGAAGGGCTGCAGGTAGGTTTGGGTTTCAGATGCTCTCTGTGGATCTATTTAATGGGGGAGAAAAAACAAAGGTAACATAGATGCCATCATAATGCATTATAGCAGTCAGTATAAGAATTAATAAAGCATTACAGGTTCTTCTATTGACAGTCATAAGGCATTAGAGTGCTGATTATAATGCTTCAATGAAGATGTCATCTATAATGCACTATAGATGCCTTCATAATGCATTATATTGCTCAGTATAAGAATTAAAGATGCTTTGTACTGTATTAAGGTATCTATAGTGCATTATAGATGAGAGGTGCATAAAGCATTCATAACGCATAGTAAACATGGCTATAATGTGTTATGCCTTTTCATAAATATTTATAGCCATGTTTATAATGCTTTATGAATGCATTACAATATGTTATGAATGTGTCCATGGATTCTTATATACATGGCATTCATAGAAAGTGTTATTGAAACAAAAGTTCTGATCACTAAACAGTTGTAGTGGATGAGTGGGCCGGTCACCTGAAGTTCCCCGGATGTGTAACTCTAGCGATGGCTGATTCTTCAATGGTCCCCTAGGAGGCTTACAAACACTTTGCTCTGCTTCTTAGTGGGCACCATCCCGGAGATGCCAGGGCAGACCCTTCGTATGGGAGCAGAGCTGGGCCGGACCCCGCACGGCACCGGTGAGCTGCTTGCTAACGTGCTGAGTGTTCTCTGCTTTTCAGGATGGGGAAGGAGCTCTGCCGTTTGATTTATTTTTATTTTTTTGTCTTGCCTCAAAGTGAGGCCATTCTGAGTGGTAAGGGGATTACTGGTAATGTTCTGTTCTCATTTTTTTTTCCTCCTTGTATTGCCCCAGGGATTGAGAATATCTAGACAGGTCAACACTGAGACCCTTTAATTCATGTTCTTTGCTTTTAAGCACTTGCTGATACTTTTGTAGATGTTACTAGCACTAAACTGTAGTAGTAATGATGAATAAGGTTCGTTCTTTTTTTTGTGGGCTTTAGCTGCACTGGGCCACGAGTTCTTCCCTCAGCATCAAGGGCTTGGCTCTCGGCTCCACAGCGCCCCCTGTTTGTTGGAGGCTGCCGATGGTGGCAGGCAGAAGATCCGCAAGCAGCATTCGGACCCACTGGTCCCACGATCCTGCAGCCTGCTCCAGCACGCCTCACCCAAGCTGAGTGACCTCATCCAGCGGAGCCCCCTGCCCACCATTCTGGGCTCCCCCACCAGGGTGAGTTGGCACCCAAGTTTGCCCCTCCCTTAGGGGGCGCTCTCTAATTTTGCCAGCTGCAGTTCATTCACTGTCCCTGTCCTCCCACATCTAGACCATGCCTCCATTTGAGTTCCCCAAGCCACCAAGCTCCCAGAACCTGGTTACTTTGCTGGGGCAGCAGGCGCTAGTCCTGACCCCGACCCGCAACCGGACTGTTCCAGACCTGAAGGACATGGGCCTGGGGCCTGGTGTCCAGCCTGGCCTTCCCCCCCGAGCGCCAGAGGGGGCTCCTGGCTCATTTGGAAGGTAGGAGAGGCACATTCGGACAGGGAGGACCTAAGCTGGTTGGTTTCCAGTACAAAAATAATAACATTAATTAAAGTGCTTGAATGAGTCGTCACTCATCATTCTGAGGTAATATGGATTAACAGGCATTATTCTAAATAACCATGTATATATTCGGCATGAGCATCTTCTACTGGCTAGCTTTATTTAACTATAAAATTGGAATAAAAACATTAAGCATACTGTCATGTCAGCTTTCTTGTGGTCTGTGCTGAGATGAATGTTTAAAAACCAAAAAAAAAGAGAAAACGTCAAAAAAACCTGCCAAAAATTTAATTTGGAAGTTTGGAATCTAGAATAGCTTTTCAACTACATGAAACAGCTTTGTATAAATGTTCCATGTTGTGCAGGTTCTCTGTTGAAAGGAAGGTAATGCATTTGAGCATTAGACAAAGGAAACTAAATTGCTGAGAGAGAGATGCAGGTGGCCATGGCTGATAATTAAACTGAACAGGGTAGCTGATAATTAAAAATTTGCTGAAAATTGACGTGTAGCATGAAGGGAATTGTTGCCTTCAAAATGTGCGACTGGACCGCTGTCGGAGAAACGCCTCAGGCTGGTCATTGGTAAAAATGGTGCAGTACGAAAGGACTGGAAAATTGATCAACTCTGCACTTCCTGACACGCTTGTGTTTTCTTCGGTTAAATGAACTGAATAAGTTGCTTGAGTGTTTGCTGTAAGTGTCGATTGTGTTCACCAAAGAGAAAAACTTAATGAAATATTCTGTTTTTTCACAAAGAATGGATAAAAGGAATAATTTAGCTAATTGCGCAAGAGCTACAAAACACAATCACGAACACAAACATTTGCAAATATGTAATCCTTTTGTTTACCATTAGTTTCCAAGAGTGGTTTGGTTTATCAGAATTAAAGTCTTCTGCTAATAGATTGTAATTGTTTTTTTTTTTTTTTAAACATGATTTTAAGAAATTCCACCAGAAAAACAGCTGAGAAATTCTTCCTAAAGCTGTAGGTTGACCTTACTTGGTCTGTGATGGAGGTTTAAGGTCTTTCCTTCCAGCCCCATGGAAATCTGAGCCTGAGTTCCATCCTTGGCAGGTCTCTGAGCACTGGACGGCTGTCCGACATGCTCCTAAAGGCCGCCTTTGGCGCGCAGCTGCTGGACGGAGGAAGCAGCGAGAGCCTGAGTGGAGAGAAGCCCATGGAGACAGCTGGTATGGGGCACAGTCAGCGTCCGGCCTTTCAAAGCATGTCTACCCTGTTTGTCATCTCTTTTTGTTTCTTTTCGATAAATCGTGAGACCAGTGAACAGAGACATCTATCCATTATTTAACACTGCAAGTAGTCTAGACTCATAATTAGAGTAAGGTGGTAGGCTTTAGGGCATTTCGTCACATGGGTTGCTTTTTTAAAATTGGCATGTTTACCCCAAGTGACTTGTGTGTTTGTGAATGCAGCTGGGTGTCTCCCTGGACTGATTCTTCAGAAGTTTGTTTCAATTTAAAGTTAGTGTTATTGTATGCCTTCAGCAATCTGCTTGACCTAGATAACATCACTAAATATTCAGTTTAATCAATGGGTGTAATGCCAACTTTAAGATAAACAAGTAAATTGCCTTTAGTGCTTTATTCAAAAGATGTTTTTTGTGTCTTGGTATTATGTAGGATATCACGTATTGGTGTAGCTATAAAAGTGAAGGTGAACTGAGTTTCTTGATTTTGTCGATCAAACCCGCAATCCAACCTTCTCAGCAAGTGTCTGCTCCCCTAGCTCCCCCTGTAGGTGGAGGTGGTACTGCAGCTGTCTCAGGGAGCCCGGGCCCAGTGGTGTTCACGGTGGGGTCCCCACCCAGCGGAAGCACTCCTCCGCAGACTCAGCGCACCAGGATGTTCTCAGGTAGGACATAAGCATGCTTAAAATCACAAGCCATTCAGTTGGCCCGCTTTGTGCGTTCAGCCTCTGCTGAGGAATGTGCTGAAATAGCACCTGGCCCCACCCCCGTCCTCCTGCAGTGGGCTCGTCCAGCTCCATCAGCTCTGCTGGGTCCTTCAGCAGCCGGCAGGCCCCCGCAGGCACCTTCGTGGAAGGCTGCGAGGGTCCGTCCAGCCCCCGATTTGGCTTCTCTGACCCCGTGGCAGCCAACCTGGAGGGAGCTGTCACCTTCGAGGCCCCTGAGCTGCCCGAGGAGACGCTTATGGAGGTGGGCTCTCCCTCCCTCGCTCCTCCCAGAAGGGGGACACACTCATCCAGCTATATAAATCATCATCATTCTCCTTCTTCTTTCTCAGTCTTATTCTCTCTTTCTGATTCTTCTGTCTTTTCCTCTTTGAGTTGTTTTCCTCTGTTCCTTGTCCTCCTAATTTCTTCTACTCCTTCCGCTTTGCCTTATCCTGCTTTTTCTATTCACCACCTGCCTATTCCTTCTCATTCTCCTCCTTCCTCTTCCTCAGTATCCTCCTCCTTATTCTTATCCTCCTCCCTCTCTGTCTGTCTTGTCGTCTTTCCTAACGGTACCTTCTCCCCACGCTGCAGCAGGAGCACACGGAGACACTGCGCGGGCTGCGCGTCACGCTGGCGTTTGCCCACTGCGTCATGGAGATCGCCAGCACCAAGGGCAGCAGCTTGGAGAGCACTGAGGGCCTGGACGCCTCCTTCCTGCAGCAGCAGAGCCTGGTGGCCGACCAAATCAGCCTGCTGAGCCGCGAGTGGAGGTAGGGCTGCAGGCAGAACTGACTTCTGACAGCTGTTTGTTCAGATTCCAGGTCTCACAGGGTTTCTTCATTTTCTTTGAAAAGTTAACAAAATGTATAATTTACAGTTATTTGCTGAAAGTATATTGCTGTATTTTAAGGATGCCAGTATAAGTGTATGTACTCGTGTGTACACACACACACACACACACAAACTTGTATTCATGTCTTTGTGGGGACTCTCCATTCATTTCTATGGGAAAAACCCTAATCCCAACAATGACAATATTAACCTTAAACATTAGTAACCAAACATAATACAATAAAATCCAGTTATAACGGACTTCGAGGGACCTGGCAAAAACAGTCCGTTATGTCCAAAGTCCGTTATATCCAGAGTTGCTGTATGCCCAGAGCACAACTTCAGGACACCATTTACTCATGCCACACCCCAGCAGACACACTTGTAGTATAGATTATTATATTGTACATGTAGTAATCCAACTTTACCTGACCAGACGCGTGACTATTAATAATCCCGACTACGTACGTATCTGCGCTGGATATCACCGGCACGCCACACGCCTTGTAGGCGGAGCTGCATGTCCGTTATAGCCGAACAAAACTACAGCTAAAAGCGGCCCTGGGGACCCAATTGTTGGTCCGTTATAAGTGAAATTCCGTTATATGCGAGTCCGCTACATCCGATACTTTTTCTGAATGTTCTTAAACACGGCTGGGACCAGCGGACCTCATCCGTTATAGACGATATTCCGTTATAAGCGAGTCCACTATAACGGGATTTACTGTACTAGACTTTTAGCATTTCTAGTTTTTTTGATTACAGTCACATATTTATATGAAATAGGTTCCCCTTGTGGGGACCATTTTTTCGGTAATGTCCCCAACAATGTAATATGTACGTGACACACACACACACACACACACACACACACACACACAGACACAGACACACAGACACACACACACACACACACACACCATTCGGTTCTCAAATGACATCTCTAGCCTCCGGTTGACCTCCTCAGGCTTTTCTGTATTATGTTGCATTTGCTATTATTATTTTTAGCTTTTTACTATTCTGGAGAGTTTAATCCAAAACTATACTTCATACCTAGACAGTGCCATTGCTGCAGTACGGCAGTGTGCTGAACGTGCGTGTGTGCGTTTGCGCGTGTGTGTGCGCGTTTGCGCGTGTGTGCGCGTTTGCGCGTGTGTGCGCGTTTGCGCGTGTGTGTGCGTTTGCGTGTGTGTGTGCGTTTGCGCGTGTGCACACATGCTTGCGTGTTGCAGTTATGCAGAGCAGCTGGTGCTGTACATGAAGGCGGCAGAGCTGCTGGCATCAGGGCTGCAGGCCGCCATGGAGGGAGTCCGGCTCAACAAGCTCTTCCCCTCGTCTGCCGTCAAGCAAGGTGAGACTGTGGGGGGGCTTGTGTGCACACCCGCACCACAGGACCACGCCACAGTATACTCCCCCATAGCACCGGTCACGCTGTCCCCCCCAAACTGAACACGGCACAAACATGTCATCTGTTTTCGTGCTACTGTGAGACATAGTGTGACTTTGTGCTTGTTTTACTCTTTTTTTTTTTGTTCACCATGGTTAAGCACCTCAATTAAGAACATTTGTTTTAAAAAAAAAAAAGAAAAAAAGGAAGAAAAAAACTTTTGTTCATTCATTCATTCATTCATTCATTCATTCATTCATTCATTCATCAGTTCATCAATCAATCCTGTTTGTTTATGTATGTATTTATTTTAGATTGTCGGTGTTTTGTTTATTTTTGTATATTGATTAAAGATTGTAGTAACCACTGTGCCCCCTGCTGTTTTGTTGTAACCCGCGCAGTGGTGAAGAAGCTGAACGAGCTGTACAAGTCCAGCGTGTCGTCCTGCCGCTGCCTGAGCATGCGTCTGCAGCCGTTCTTCGTGCACAAGCAGCGGCTGATGGATCGCATCAACAGCATTGCAGCGGAGAAACTCATCTACAGCCATGCTGTGCACATGGTAACCGCCCCCCCCCCCC